TTCTCTCCGTCCCTCCCACCACAGACACCACCCACCACACACACACACGAATGCAGGGAAACCGTTCTTTCCTCCATTCCAGCAACTATGACATCTTCCTTTTCTTTACTTTTCCCTTTCGTTGTTGCTTGTGTTTTCCCGCCTTGTCGTGTTGCCCTCGTTGTGGGCGCGTGTGAGCCCCCACCACCGTGTCGCGGGCAGGCGCAGAAAAGTTACAAGCATGCCAGTCAATGAATACAAAAGAAAAAAAGAGAGAGAGAAAGAGAAAGGGCTTACGTAACGGGCATATGTCTCAGAAACAAGCGTTACGTATTTTCACGGCGCGTGGGCAGGCGCACGGCCGGCGGCTACTTCGCCAACTTGGGCATCATCGTGACGTAGTTCTGCAAAATGCTGCGCCAGCTCTTTTTGTACCGCCGCATAATCTTCATGGCAAAGCGAGACGACATGTACGCCAGCTGCCCTCGCTCCTTGACGCCGTAGTTCAGCAGCAGGGCGTGGTAGTCGAGCTCCTCCATCACCTGCAGCCGCCGCTCGCGAAGGAACTGCTGCACGTCGTCGCCCCCCGCCACGGCGCGGGCGAGGCCGAAGCAGTCTGTAAACCCCTGCGCGTCGGCCACGTCAATGGCGTCAAAGGCGCAGCCGTGAGCGGCGTGCGCCAGCTTAATGACGCGCCCCCCGCCCTCTGACCAGTGCGGCATGAGAAATAGCGGGGTGCGGTAGACCAGCGCGCCGCCCTTCGTGAAGTGCTGCTGCATGTGCGTCATCATGGGGCGGAACATCGTGTGGGGAATGTACCCCGGCACCCCGGAGGTCCAGTGCATGACGACGTCGTCCCAGAACTGCTTCGTGCTGGTGCTCTTCAGCCGCGGGTCTGTGGTGCCGTCCGGGATGGTGATGGTGACGTTGTAGAAGAGCTTCGTCGCCATCATCGTGGGACGCACCGTCATCTTGGCGTCGCGGGGGGTGAGCAGCTCAACGATCTCCTGCGAGCCCGGCGTGAAGCGCTTCTCAAACCGTCCCAGCTCCGGCAGCGGGGGGACGCACAACTCCATCCAGCGCACCGCCTTCGCGAGGCTCTCCTTGAACTTCTCCGCGTTCTCCGCCCGCTGCTGCAGCTCCTCATTGGTGAGCGTGAGCTCCGGCACCAGCTCCTGGTTGCGGCTTGTGCAGATGACGCCCAGGTAGTCCTGGTGCATGCCACTCGCAAACCGCACCCGCACCCCGCCGTTCTCCAGCGGCTCAAGCCCGCCCCTGTCGACGTGCGGCTTGGGAAGCACGTGGCAGCTGTGGGAGCCGACCTCGCAGAGCGACAGCAGCGCCCGCTCCAGCTTGAGCCGATCGCAGCAGAAAAAAGTCGGGCTCTCGCCCTTCTCACGGAACTCGTTCAAATCCACGTCGCACATGTCATTTCCGACGTGGTCGAAGGTCAAAATGCGGCCAACGACGCTCCCGCTCGGGACGGAGACGTTCAGCACGTCGCCCATCACCTGCGTGACGGAGGGCGTGAGGACGATGGTGCCGCGGTCCATGTCGTTGCCGCTCACGTGGTGGGCGAGGTCGCAGTCCAGGCCGTGGACGCGCAGGCAAAGCGCCATGAACGGCGCCATCATGCCGTCTCCGACGACGAGGTACTTTCCCTGCGAGGACAACTCACTGCGCTGACGGATGTGCGCCGCGAGGTCGCCGCGCCGCGCACCAAACGTCGTCAACCCCTGCTGCTGCTGCGCAGGCACGGAGGACGCAGGCGCCGGTGCACGCCCTTTGCTTCCGGCGGCGAGCGCACGGCTGCCGAAGAGGGCAAGCCGACGCGACGGCGAGGACACCGACACCTCCGTCGTTGTTGTTGCCGTTGCCGCTGTGGCGGTTGGGGGCGATGCCGAGGATGAAGGGGGCGGCGGCGGCGGCGGCGGTGGCGATGCGGAACTCGTCGAAGCCGCGGGCGCCCCGCCATTTGCCTTGGCGCTGCCACTAATAACCCCACCGCCGCCGCTACTACCCTGCGCATTCCTGCTGCCGTCGCCAGGCGCTGTGCCCATTTTTTTCCTCGCTGTGCGGCCGCGGCGCTCCTCGCCCCTCCTCTCTCCTCCTGCTGGGTACCCTTGCTCTTCCTTCGCTCGTCAACGTTGCGGCGCCGAAGGGAGGAGGAGGCATGAGAGACAAAATTAAAGAGCGCTGGGGCGCACCCAAAGAATGGAGGGTGACAGCAGGCAAGCACGCAGCTGCAACACCATAGGCATCCTGCATGGAGGTTTGTCTGCAACGCACGTAAGCGCGTAAAAGAAGAAAAGTGTGGTTTGGGCGCGGCTGCATCCGCTGCCGTGTCCGTCGTGGAGCTTCGTCTCTCTCTTTCTCTCCCTGTCTGCACGACATCGTTTCAGTAGGGCGCCTCTCCCCGACTCTAATCTCGTGACGGCGGCGGCCGTTGTTGTTGCATGCCCAGCTGCAGCTCACACACCGTGGCGTCCTCCATCGGCATCTGCTTCCACGCCCTGCAGAGCCACTGCACGGAGGCCATGGTGTTCAAGTCCTCCCCGGGGCAGTAGGGGTTGTCAAAGGGAAACTCGCCGTAGTACTTCGCAAAGTTATGGGAGATGGTGCCGGCCAGCGAGACATGGTGGTCAAAGCGGTACTCGCTCGCCAGATCGTAGCCGTGGGCCAGCCAGAACGACACCGGCGGGCACTTCGTCTGCAGGAACTGATCCACGCTCCCGCAGTGGGCGGGGTCGTAGTAAGTGTCAAAGACCCACTTCTCCATCAGGCGGGCGGCGATGTTCATCTTGGCGTCGCACGCGCTGCGGAAGAGGTCCTCGTCGTAGCCGAGCGAGATGCGGAGGCGGTTGCGGCGCGTCCACTCCGGCTCCGCGTTGATCCCCGCCCCGTCCCGCAGGTTGTTGATCGCCCGCCGCGGGGCCCCCAACGCAAGCTGCAGCACCTCGCGGTCGAGGAAGACAACGTCGAGGCGCCGACGCCGCACGACAACGTCGCAGCTGCCCAAGTACCGCTGCAGCCCCAGCGCAAAGTCCCGCACGTGGGCGTTCCCGCCGGCGCCTGCGGGGCCCGCCAGGTCAGGGTCGGTGGCGGCGGCGTTGACGAGCATGTCGCACTGAAATTTCCCCTTCGACGACACGAAGGCGGCGATCTCCGCGTCTGCCCCAACCACCTTGCGAACCGCATCGTGCACCAGGAGGTAGTACTTCTTTGGCAGTGGAAACGACATCTCCCTCCGCCGCTGCTCCGCCTCCCCTCCCCCACCCCCTCCTTCCTTCCTCTTTGAAGCCGGCCAAACACCCTCCTCCGCGGTTTGATGGGTGCTTGTCAACTCACTACCCGGGTGCTTACTCCTTCCTGCCGTTTGGGTGGGGTGTGGCTCCCGCCAGGCCTCATGCCGTCCCGAAGGTGTAACTGCGACGCCCCAGCGTGCCGCGCCGGTGCGGGAAAGGGAAGGCAGGGGAAGGTGAAATGGAAAAAAAAAACCTCCATGAAACAAGAAAACAGGAAGGGTAGACACCTCAGTCTACCAATTATTCTCAGTACATTTCTATGCATATACATATATGTATATACCTGTATGTGTGTGTGTGTGTGTGTGTGCCACAGGAGTTGAGTGCAGTTTGCACGCATTCTACCAGGACGGGCGTGGCTCCAGTCTACCTCCTGCAGTGACGATCTCTCTCGCCTGCACGCACACGCGTAGGTAAGTACACAAAAGAGGCGTGCAAGAAGGCATATTTGCCCACCAACCCCCAGTTTCTCTTCTTCGTCAGTTTCTTTTTTTTTTTTGCCCTCTGACCGTTGCTGAGCTCACGGCAGCAAATGCCCGAGGAGACGTTGTCTGTCTTTCCCCTCCTCCTTTCACCTTTTTTTTTCTTTTCCTGCCCGTCGCTCTCTAGTGTCCCTCCCACCCAACCCCCGCCTCGCCATCACTCTGCGGCCGCGGGACTTGCCGGGGGACTCACGCCCCGCACGACGAGGTCGTCCAGCCCGGGCACGCTCTCCAACAGCACCCCATGCTCGTTGGCGAGGAAGAGAATGGAAAAGAAGAAGAAGGCCGGCGACAGCGTGCCGGTCGCGGAGATTGTCGGCACGCGCGGCAGGATGGGCAGGACCAGCTCACTGAACCGCGGCCGCCCCGCCCCGCCCGCCTCCTCCTCCGCCGCACGGCGACGCTTGTGCCCCGCCGACTTCCGCCGCTCCTCCCCGTCGTGGGGCCGCGCCTGGGCGGCGGGGCTGCGCCGCATCGCGTCCTCCAGTGCCCGCCACATCTCCTGCCGCAGCCGCACAACGTCCACCTGCGACGGGAGAGCCGTCTGCGGCGGCTGCAGCACCCGCGCCAGCGTCAGCGGGTCCACGCCGGCGAGCGCGCTGGCGCCGCTGCGGCGTCCGTCGCTCAACGCCGTCGTCGCGGCAGCACTTGCCCGCGCCAACTCGGAACGCTCGAGGCTCGAGAGTATTTGGGCCTCCACCTGCCGCAGCGGGTCCTCCGCACCCCGGTAGGCGACGCCGCCGTCCTCGTCGTAGTCGTCGAAGCCGCCGGCCCCCATGAATTCGTCGTCGGCCTCGGCGCCGCCATGAAAAAATTCCACAGGCATGGCGCCAACTGCGCCGGGTCCACCACTGCCGCCGCCGTCGTCGCCGTCGTCGTCGTCGTCGCGGCCAAATTGGCTCTGGGTGTCTCCGCTCCTTTTTGCGTCCCAGTCTTTATTCGCAAGGACGCCACTCACGCGCCGGGAGGGCGCGGCGCTGCCAATTGCAAGGGTGTGGCCCGATGCTGACTTGCGCAGGAGATTCCACTGCAGCAGCGAGGTTGAGAAGGGCTGAAAGAAAGTTGGCACGTGGATTGGGTAAGGCAGATACGACGGAATGCTTTTGCCGGGCACTGGTGGCTCTGGAAGCAGCAGCCCGGCCTCCTGCGCCTTGGCACGCTGCACAACGCTCTGCGTGAAGGCAAGAATGGCGTTCGGATCCTTCCCCAGCAGCAGCTCCTTCCCGAGCGGCGTCATGTTCTTCCCGGAGGTCGTGCTCTGCTTGAGGGCGGAACTGTCCACGCCGCTCCCACCCGAGAGGAGGAAGGAGGAGGACGAGGAGTTTCCCGCATCCCCGCCACCGGCGGCGGCAATGGCCAACTCTCCTGGAAGATCAAACGCGACGGTCTTCTCCCGCTTCACGCGCTTGTTCGCCGGCGTGGACCCGCCCTGCGGCAGTGCAACGGCCTGCGCGAGGCGGTGTTCCTTGTGAAGCCGCAGCAACTCGGAGTTTTTGTGTGCCGCGCTGCCCAACAACGCAGATACAGGCGGCTCCGCAAGCGGGAACCACGAGGTGGGGTCCTCCGCCTCGAGCGCCAGACGATTCTCGCCGAAGAGGCAACCGTCGATGGCATTCAACTCGGCGACGCCGGAGACCAAATGGCGTGCCTCCGTCGCGACACGCTCGCGCAGCGCCTCCGCATTTGCGTCGCTCCCGCTTGCAACGCCAAAACTGGCGCCGGTGTTGGTGTTGTTGTCCTCGTCCTCGTCCTCGTCCTCGTCAAAGGCGCCGCCGTAGTCCGTGCCGCCGCCCCAGTCCCCGTCGTCCGCGTCGGGCTCGTACTCCGGCGGCAGTTGCTGTTGCTGGTGGTCTGCGGCGAAGAGCGAGGCGGCGGCCCCCGACTCCTGCGGTGGGCCCTGTGGCTCCCCGATGGCCGCCGAGTGGCCGCCCCCGGCCCCCTCCGCCTCTAACGGCGTCGTGTGCGGTAGCAGCAGCAGCGACGGCAACATCATGGACGGCCGCCCCGCCTCCTCCTCCGCCCTCACGCCGCTGTCGCCACTCAGCCGGTAGCCGCCCCTCCCATTATCCCCAGAAAGCGGACTCTGCCCCGCCGACGCCGTTGTGGAGAAAACAGATAGGAACGGGGGGAGATCGAGGGGCTCGTCGAGGCCGACATCAAACTCCTCGGCGGTGGCGGTGGCGGTGGCGGTGGCGGTGGCGGCGGCACGCATCAACGCTTCCTCATCCTCCGTTTCTTGCTTGGCGTGTCGGGATCCGCCAGAAAGGCGAATTCGTCGCGTGGAGTACTCGCGACCTGTCTCGCGTGCGTAGTCCACGTCGAGGATCAGGTTTCCCGCGCCTCCCAGCGGTGTGTTGTGCAGTAGCAGACCCTGCGCGTTGCCCTGATCGAACTTTTCCGTGATGGCACGAAACTGCGCGTTCACGCCGGTATGGACCAGCGTCACGCGGCCCTTGCCGTCCAGGTTGATCTCCGACGGGTCCAGGGCGATGGTGCGGGCCGACTGCGTGCGACGCTGGGCGGCCTTCCGCCTGCGCTCGGCGGCGGCGGCGGCGGCGGCGGCAGAGCCAGAGCCGTCGACACCCGCGTCTCCATCGGCGCCGGTTGCTTCGCCGTCGCTGCCGTCCCCGTCGCCCTCCTCGTTCCGCAGCAGACGCCGCAGCATCTGGTTGGAGCGCTGGTACGTGCTGTCGACGCGACTGGTCCAGACCTTTGAACATCCCTCCACGACGGTTGCCACCTTGGCAAAACTGGAGTACTCGTCGGTGGTTGTCGCGGCATCCAGCGTACTCTCAACGGTGTGGGTGATGCCCTCCAGCAGGTTGCTGGCGTCCTTCGAGACCCAGGCGTTCTTGCGGGTAATTTTGCCCTCAATGGCCTGCAGGAGGGCGTCGTCAAGGTCCTGCGCCGTGGCGAAGCGCGGACGCTGACGCGAGGCCGACAGCGTCGGCTGTGGCGTGCCCTGCTGGCTGAAGGGAACGGTGCCGCGTCCCTCGTCAAATATGAACGATGGCTCCACGGGCAGCGTTGCCGCCGCTGCCGCGTGCTCACCACGCCGAAGGGGCTGGCGCTGCCGACCCTCGTCACCTTGCATGACTGGACCGACAAGCGCAAAGGCAAGAACCACTCCCCCCCTCCTCCTCTTATGTATCTGCCCGGGTAGATATATATATATATATATCCGTGCGTGTGTCTATTAGCACCGGTCCTTCTCCCACCCCCTCCTACTCCAAATCCCACGCGTGGAGAGGCACGTAAACAAACGCAGGTAAGAGAGGCGCACTCAAAAGAAAAAACAAATGTAAAAATGAAAAACCCCTCTCGTTCGCCGAACTTCCTTCTCTCCATCGCACTCCCCGGCCCAGCAGACAGCACGCACGCAGCGAGTGAGAGAGACGTGGTAAAATAGCAATGGGCATAGAGAAAGAGAAGGGAAAAGGACGTGCCTGTGCGTGGGTGTGTGTGTGTGTGTGCGTGTTTTCCTTGGCGGAGGCCAACATCCCACCAATCCTCCTTTTTGTTTTCAGCTCTCTTTGGGGGAAAAAAAAATAGGGCCTTTGACTTGCGCGGGGGAGGAACCGACGCATGCAGAGAGGCAACTGCAGAAGTGCAGAAGCACGTGGACGCCCTGCAGCCGCATCAGTCCCTCTTTCCCCCGTTTTATATGTCATCGCCGTCGCTTCTGTTTTCCCCGCATTGCTTTTTCCCCTTCCTCGCTTCTTTGGACTGCCCCCGCACAACGAGCCCTTCTGCGGCCGCTCCTCTCGTTTTCTACGCCCACGCATCGCCACGGACAGACGTTAAACTGCACATTGAGGGGACAGCGGGGGGCAATGAAGGACACAGACAGACAAACACAGTCACACACACACACACACACGCACGCACGCATGCGTAGTAAACATGGAAGAACTACAGTGATAGCAATTGACGATGCCGGCGGTGCATACTTGCGGGGAGTGTGGGGAGCCTCCTTTCCCCGCCCCGGTTGCTTCTTCTGGTTTTTGCTGTTCCATAGGTGGCGGGAGGAGGAGGGTTGCTGCGGCTCCCCTCACCTGGACTTTGGAAACTGCATCTGGTACAGCTTCTGCTGGAGGTCGCAGCTGCTCGTGAAGGCGATCGCGACCCCCGCGGCTCGGCTCGAGCGCACCAGCATGCGCGTGACGTTGCCGACGTCCACGGAGTCCACGAAGCAGCGGCAGGGGCGCTTGAAGCTATCCGTCACCTCCAGCTCCACCTGGTCCTCCTGGTTGAGGTGCGTCGGCCGCCACTGCGCCGGGGAGACGACGTTGCTGCCCACGACTTGGATCAGCGGCGCCCCGACGGGGACCGGCGACGCGCCGAGCGCCTGGCAGTACGCCGTGCTGCCGGCCGCAGTCGACACCAACACCCCGTCGCCGCGCAAGTGGATGCGCTCCTCGCCGTTCACGAGAATGCGGATGTGGGCGGTTTGCCCGCTGGAGCGCTCCACCCAGGCATCGTTGAAGGCCAAGTGTGAGAGCAGCACCTTCTCCCCGGACTCCGTGTCCTTCTCGGCGAGGCAGTAGAGCATGATCGTGCTGTGCAGCTTCAGCGGGGCGGAGAAGAGCTCGCCCAGGGTGGCAGGATCATTCAGCAGGTACCCCACGTGCCCGGCGTTCACCCCAAAAAAGGGAATAAAACGGTCCCAGTTGTTTCGGATGCAATGCATCATGTAGCCATCGCCGCCAATTGGCACTATAAGATCCGGCTCCTCATCCACGGGTGACTCAAACGATTTAAGCTTATCGTAGTACTCGCAGGCGAGCAGGTTGCTCGCCTCATAGTGCAGCTCTAGTCTCGGTATGAGACCAGGAAAAGACAAAGTAGCAGAGGGGCCAATTGACTGCACTTTGCCTCTTCGCCAAGCACTCGAGCTGCTGCTGCGGCTGCTGCCACTGCTGAACTGCTGCACCTGGGCCATGTTCGGGTAGTTGCCCTTGCGGTAGTCGTGGTAGAGGCCATGGCTAGTGATGTAGCGATGCACCGGCTCCGTGAGCAGCAGTGCCGGGTCCACTTCACGCTCCCAGAGCGCCTGGCGCACGTCGGCCCCGGTGCAGCGGTGAACAGTGTGCACCTCAACGTGCGGCGAGGCGGCAGTGGCGGTGGCAGGACGGCTGGGGGCGCATTCCATGCCGTGGTGCGTAGAAAAGAGCTCCTCGACGAGGTGGCGGACCTTGAGGCGGGTTGGCATGGCGTCCGAGGAGAGGCTCAGGCTCTCGAACTCATCGACCATGTCTTCGTAGCCGCACTCATTCGCCTCCCTCGTCGACGGCGGCCCCCCACTGGCGTCTGCGGCGCCGTCTGCTTGCGTCGCCGCGGTCGCCTCACCACTCGCGCCCCGCACCGTCTTTCCCGCATCGCCAGGGGCGCCACCCGCCCTGCCGCCAGCCTCGCCTTTGCTCTGTAGGGTGCTTTCCAGCTCCCTCGCGCCGGGGCTTCGCCCGCCGCCGGTGACGCGGTCCGTGAGGTCGGAAGGCTGCAGCAGCAAAGGCACGTTGTGCGACGACGCCAGCCACGACGAGCCTGAGGAACTTAAGTATGACCTGCTCATCTCCACCTCCTCGTCGCCGTTGCCCCCGTGCACCCAGCGGGGCGAAGTACGGCCCTGACCGCCGCAGTCGCCAGCACCGCCGGCCGTGTCGTCGTGGCTGTCACGAGCGTTGTCATCCGCTTTAGCGGGCGACGCGGCATCGTCGCTGGTTTTTTCCTGCGGAGGCCGTCCCTGCAACGGCGGCTGCCGCGCTGCCGCCGCCCCCTCTGGCGCGCCCAACGCCCCAAAGACGCTAGAGGCATACTTCTTCTCAAACCGTGCGTCGCGCGGCTTACCCAGCATGCTGACAGAAAAGCTCACCGTCTGCAACAGCAAGAGCGGCACATGCAGCCTCACGTCACTAAAATGGGCCCACCTCTGCATCTCATGTGCGTCCTGCAGCCAGTGCACGAGCGTGCTGTTGCTGTACCGCTGCGTCAACTCGTACACGCACGGCATGTCCTCGTCTGGGTTCTCAAGCGCAGTGAAGTCCACGTGCACGCGGGGGAGGCCGCGCGCCACAAGCGTTGTCATGGCGGCAAGGTGCGTCGAGAGACGCAGAGTGATGGGAAAGCGTGTGTTGGGAACCAAAATGAGGTGTTCGAAGGGCACACACTCGCTCTTCTTCAGGCTCTCCGCAAGGGATTCGAGGCAGCAGAGCGAGCCCACCAGCTGCCCGGGGCCGTTGCCGTAGCGCGGACCACCACCACCACCTCCATCGCGGCCGGCGTTGCAGCGATCGGGGGTCGTGTCACCAATCAGCAGCCGGAAGATCTCTCGGTGCTGGGCAGTAGGCGGATCCAAATGCAGCGGAAATATACCGACGCGGGAAAGCTGCGGTACACTGTAGCACAGCGACAGGAAGACCCGACGGAGCATCGTGCCGAGGGGGTTATAAAGTACAACTGCAGATGCGGGGGTGAGCTGCAGGCGCGTCCCCGTGCCCCCTTCCGCTGCTAACTAATCCACCTCGCTGCGTGAAGTGGGGGACGGGAGGGCGGTGGCTTCTAACGCACCTGACAGCAATGCCACGTAACCGCAGCGAAGGCGCGGACGGGGGCGATGACAAGCGACACAGTGCCGTGACAAACAACGACCAGGCAGCTTATTTATGCCTCGTTCCAGTCCCCGCCTTGACGCAAACCCCGCTCCTTCTGCCCTTGTGTGTGTGTGTGTGTGTGTGTGTGTGTACTTGTCTGCCTCTGTTTGTCCTTCTTCCGCAGAAGCCTGCCAGAGTGCGATATCAAACATATATATATATATATATATGTGTGTGTGTGTGTGTGTCAGTGAGCGGAGCGCAAGAAGGGTAAGGGGGTGGGAGGATGAGGGGCACCCGCATGCAGCACGCAGAGCTGCAGGCACGTTGCGCACACGGCGAAGGCGACATAGGCAAGAAGAAAGCAAAGTGGCAAGGAAGGGGGTCTGCTGGATTGCGTGCATCGCAGCACATGTCAGTAACAGCAGCAAACGGCAAATGTGTAAAGATCACGGAGGCTCACTCAAAAGCAGCTAAAAAAAAAACACTCGGGTGGAGCAAAGCCATTAAGCCCTAAATGACTCCTGCTGCCACGCCCCTGGCCGCACCTCGAAGCAGCGGCGGCGCCCACAGTGTTGGGCCCCTTCCCAGTTGCCGCAGACGTTGCGGGCACTGCCATGTCCACGACGAACACCAGCGACGCCGCTGCTGCCAGCAGGACCACAACCCGCAGCAAAATTCCCCCGGCGAGAGAGTCGTCGCGAGCTCGCCAGCACGACAGACCCAGCGGGGGGAGGGGAGGGGGACCACACCGTGTTGCGCCACTTGGCGCCGTCGACAGACCCAACGGGCACCGCCGTAGAGCACGTTCCCCGCCCGCAAAAGCGGGCGCTCGCTCCGCGCGCACCCTGCAACCCCTGTTTCACGTCGGGCCACGCAGGGATGGTGCTTGTCCACGGCGTGCCCTTCCAATTGACCATGGCCTTGCACACGGCAGTCGAACTTTGTGCTTGTTATTTTGCTTGCGTACTGTCACCCTTCCGAGGGAGTACCTCTTACTCTGCAATTCGCCGCGGCATTTTGCTGCCCGCCGCGTTTTTGGCTTACCTGGCGTGGTTGACAGAGATTGTGCGTGAACTCATGCTTCCTTTTTTTGCTTACTTTTCAGTGTCATGTGCGGGAAAGCAGGAGAGGGGCATGGTTACTGCCACGGCGTGAATCGCGACCGTCGATGCAGCCCCCGCCTCTGGGCGCAAGTGGGAGTCAGTGTGGAGCGCAATATGTACGGCGGGTTCGATAGTAGGAGAGGGGGGGGGATTAGATGGGGAAGAGGGCGCCCGCGCCGCCGGGGAGGCCAAGGACGCGCGGCGGCAGGGGCGCCACCTCGCGGCGATACATTCTCTCGAGCTGCAACGTCTGCCGCGGCGCCGCGCCCATCCGCGGCCCTCCGCGGCGGTCGTACTGCTCGGGCCCGGGGTGGAACCCGCGGCACATTAAGTAGTCCTCCTTCGGCCGGCCAAACTGCGGCTGCCTGATCGCCGCCGAGTGCTCTGCGGTGGTGGGGACGGTGCAGGACTCCTGCCGGGGCCCGGCGAAGGTGGAGAACGGCACGAGGGGGACGTAGTGGCTCCGGAGGAGGCCGGAGTACCGCTCACTTCGCCGCCGGTCCCGCGCATTCGCCTCCCGCGTCTTCTGCAGCCGCTGCGCTTGCGGCAAAGACGGTGCGTCGCCGCTCTCATCGGCACGCGGCGCCGCGGCGGGCACAACGATGAGGCGACGGACAAGTCGGTAGGGGTACGGCGGACATCCCGCGCCGCGCCAACGCGCCAACGCGTCCGAGGACGGCGGATCTTCGTTGGGCAGCGTGTAGATGGCGCCGCCGCCGCCGCCGTATTGAGCGTGAACAAGCGCCATATAACACACAGATGTGTACAAAGTAGAAGAAGAAGAAGAGAGAGAGAGAGAGGGAGCGCACGCCGAATGTGGCTGCTTGTAGCTGCGCCCTTACGACCCCCACGCCGCTCTTTAAAACAAAAACAAAAACAAGTTGTCGCTGTTTGGCTTTGCGCAGACGCCGTCCCTTGCGTGTGTGTAGTGAGGGCCTGCCACTGCGCGTGAAGCACCAGCAGAAGAAACGAGAAGAGACGCAAAGGCTGATGCACCGCACAGAGGGCCGGGGCGCGCGCACGCCCCTCCCCGCAAACCACAGGAGGCACCGAAGGAAGCAGCGGGAAAGAAAGTAAAAGAAAAAAGTGGGGGAAAAACACATTTTTCGCACATTTTTTCCCAGGCCCGTTCCGTCAGCTGTGAGAGGAAGTGCGGCGGGGGAACAGTCATACATCTGCCGTCCCACGAGCACGTCAGCGGCAGCCAACAGAAAATGAGAAGCAAGAGGGTGGAGACCACGAAGTCCGTGTAGCGAGCGTCGTCCGTAATTGAGGCAGCCAAAGAGGGGGAGAGAATAAAAAAAAGTGCAGAGGGAATGATCCCACAGAAAAGAAGAAGGGGGAAAAAAGAGCCGAATAAACACACACACATGTGAGCAGCATCCGCGGCGCGTCAGTGCGCCGCCGCCGCCGCCGCCGCCGTCTTCGGGTGAATCCAACTCTGCCTCGCTCGCGATCTCCAATGTTGTCTAGATGTTTCACACAATTCTTGTCACCTCATTTCTTTTCGTTTTTTTTTTCGTTTTCCTTTTTCGTCCCCACACATAGATATACATATATACATGGAAAGATATATATATATATAAACACAGATATTGCTGGTTTCTCTTCGTTTTCTTTTTTTTCCCCCCTTATTGGGTTGTTTCGTCCTTTCGTTTTTGTTTGCTTGTTTCGTTTTGTTCTTGTTTGTGTTTTTCACCGCTCCGTCCCCCCCCCCAATGCGCAGGAGCAGGCGGGGTATACGCCTTTACATGGAGCGACCACGCCGCTTGCATTCGGCACATGAACGTTGTGCAAATGGACGCCCGGCGCAACGCCACGGTGTCTTCTGTTTGTTTTGTGCTGCGTGCGATCCCTGCCGCCGCCGCGGTGGCGGCGCTACCCGGCACCTCAGACGCTGCTGGTAGCCGTCATGGGCGGGAGGTCTTCCTCGGAAGAGGAGGCGCTTGTCACCATCATCTGCAGCACCTCCTCCGGCATTAGCACCGAGTCCTTTGACATGTCCAGGACGGAGGAAACGTAGTAGCTGGGCCGCCCCACCTCCCGCGTCCCGCTGACGTCCATGGACTCCTTGCCCGACACCCACATCGCATCAAAGAGTCGGTGGGTCTTGCCGCCATCCGGCTCTGCCAGCAGCTCGCCACCCATTTTCTGCCGGTTAGCGTCGCCCAAAAGGGAAACTCGCCCCGTCGAGCCATCGAGCAGGCGTTGCTCCGTCCCCCCACGCTGTTGCCGCTGGCTATCCTGAGGCTCCGCCAAGAGGATGTACTTTACCTGCTCATAGGCGGGCCCTGCCGTCGTCACAGGCCCCTTGGAAGCACGGCGTGGTTGACGGCTCCCATTGCCACCGTCATCGGGGGCCCTCCCCGCCGACCCTGTTGAGGCGCCACCGCCGCCTTGCACTGGCGCCTTCCCAAGAGGCGGAAGAAGTTTTTGAGGCACCTGGGAACTTGCGGTCGGCTCTCTGGGGACTGGGTGGGGCTTGCTGGGTGGAGCGGCCGTCCCCGGGGCCGCTCGCCGATCTTTTGAGACGTTTCCGCCGCCTGCCCCCCTCGGCTGGGAGCTAGATGTTGTCTGCTGGTAGCTCTTCGACGACATCTGCTGGTACCCCGACGGTGCCTCTTCGCGGCCGGGCGGCGGCTGCTGCTTGTAGCTTGGCGGCGGCTGCTGCTTGTAGCTTGGCGGCGGCTGCTGCTTGTAGCCGGGCGGCGGCTGCTGCTGCGGATACGCTCTTCCGCTTTCTTGGTAGTTGGGCGGGGCGTGGTGCTGGGGAAACGGAGGATGTGGCTGGTTTGGCGGCGTCCGCTGGAAATTGGAGCCGGACGGGGTTTGGGCCGAGTACGCAGACTTCGGCGCCGGGTTCTCCTTGCGCTGCTTTGCAGGGGACTTCTTCCCGGCCGCCGGCGCCGCCGCGGCGGGGGGGCGGGGGTTGGGCGTCGCGCCTGCGAAGGCGTCGCTTCCCACGAGGTAGCCGTCCTTGAGCGTCTCCGGCTCCGCCGCGTCGTAGTTGGGCGGCAGGGAGTAGAGGAGCGGGTGCGGGTTGCCGTAGAGCTGGCCAGCCCGCAGGAGGGTTGCGCTGAGCGTCATCCCGCGCAACACACGCGGCATCTTTTTTCTACCTTTGCCCCGAAAGGCTACATCCACGGCGCCGGGGTACGGCGTGGGGTCGAGGCGCTCCGTCAGCTTCGCCCCATGCGTGGCCTCGCCGCAGAAGGTGATGGTGAGGTCGCGATGGAACTTCTCCTTGGCCCGTCGCCGCGACTTGCCGCCGCACTGCTGCAGGTATCGCTCCATGTCGTCCTCCTCGTCGCGGGGGTCAACCGGCCGCGGCGGGACGGTGAGCATCGTGTGGTGCTGCTTGTAGACCCCGTAGGAGCGCAGCACGTCCCGCACCGTGCGGTAGGTCTCCGTCACGCTTTTGGTCATGGGGTGGTCGCGGCCAAGCAGCTCTTGCGTTGCTCGCATTGCGTTCTGAAACAGGACCGCGGCATTGCTGTGCTCCGCGGGGTCCTTGGTGTACCTCGCCGTGTTGATCTGCGCCACCGCCAGGTTGTGCCAGGCGGCGCCCCAAAGCACCTTGTTCTCCGACGTGGCGACCGCAATCCCGGTGCCCTGCAGCGAGCGGCTCCCACCGTCGTCCCCCGGCAGCGTCGCCGCGTTGCCACTTTCCTCCTGCAGCTTCAACGTGCGCAGCATGTCGATGGTCTCCACCGCGGCGGCCGTTGCCTTGTCGTACATTCCCAGGGCGTTGTATGCGGCGCAGGTGTTCAGCGCGACGGAGGGCGAGGCCGACCCCCACCGCTCCTCCAACTGCCGCGCGGCCTCAAAGTGGCTGAGTGCCTGCCGGTGCTGCCCGCGGTGGCACTCCACAACGCCGAGGTTGTTGAGCGTGGTGGAGCGCAGCGTGTCCATGAGCCGCGTGTCGCCGCCGGGCGACGCGAGGTTGTGCAGCTTCATGTACGCGTCGCTAAGAATCGTGGAGGCGTCCTCCAGCGCCTCGGCGTTGCACCGCTGCATCGCGAGCGTGTTCATCGCCAGCACCTCGTGCAGCAGCTCGTCCTCGCTCGGCTGCGTCGCCTGCAGCCCATTCGTCGCCTCTGACGCCGCGACGTCGCGGCGCACGTTATCCTCCGCGGCGGTGCCGCCCTTGCGGTACTCCGCCAGCGACGCCGCTTCCTGCATGCCCCCGGTGCCTCTGCGCTGCCGCTGCCGCCGCCGCCACGAACGCTGCTGCCGCTGCTTCTTGCTCTTCCTGCCCACAGAGAGGTTGCAGGCGGCGGAGGGAGGGAGAAAAGGAGGAGGCCAAGAGAGACGTGCCGCGGGGGCACCGCCCAAAGCCAAGAAACACAAACGGGAGGAGGGACGCGGCACGCCACCGCGCGCATCTGACGCACCCGCCCCCCCCCCTCACACACACACACCGTGATGCACGCTCCCACCGTTAGAAAAGAGGTGGAGGGTGAAACAAGAGAGGAGAAAGGCGGACCCTTCTCGCGTCCTCTGCTTCACTCGCCCCCCACACAAAAACACAGAGGGGGAGGAAAGTGAAAAACATACGAGCAGTTAAAACAACAGACGCTAAAGGAGTGGAACAAAAAAAAAGGAAAAAATATCCTTTAAATCCCAAAGTCACGTCCGCCACACCGCAATCTATTCCTATTCGCCTCTAAATATAAGCCCGTCTAAATGGAGCCACGCACAACATCCAACTGCAGTCCCCTCACACCCACCACAACGACCAACACACACCCATACATACACGCAATAACAATATTACACAGACATATATATATATAGTCTTTGTGCATGTGGATGTATCGCGAGAATTTACATCGCTGAATGACGTGGGCTCACGAAACGTTGTCGCCTGTGCTGTGGCGAGAGGGAAACGGATTCGTCGTGGCACTCCGATTGGCTGCAGCCCGCGTTATTTGCGCTACTGTTCGTGTGTACTCGCTCTCGCAGGGCGTCAACACGCTGTTGCATCATTGTCAGACGCGACATCTTTGACCGGCGCTCCCGGTCGACGCGAAGGGAGTCTGTTGTCCGGCGGGCCACGCGCGAGGCGAGCTCCAGCTCCGCCTCGAGCTCCTCCTTCCTCCGGCGGATGGTGCTCATCTCGAGGGCGTGCGCAAAGCACACCTGGGCCCAGGCAAGGTCCTCGGCGTACTTGTCAAGTACGCCCACCACCTCCTGGTACTTGCTGGCGTAGAGCCTCTCCTCTTTCTCCAGCTGCGTGAGCTCCTGGCGGTGCATGTTCGTCTCGTTCTCCAGCGTGGAAATTTCAATGCGCATCTCACTGATTTTGTGGTCGCCGTAGAAGTCCCCCTGCGTGAGCTGCTGGTCGAGCCCCGCAATTGTCTCGTCTAGCCGCTTCACCGTCTCTAGCTGCGACGTCGTCACGGCGTGGGTGGCCCGCGTTCGCTCCAGCTGCGCCGCACACTCCTGCTGCTCCGCCTTTATGCGGGCCTGCAGGTCCGCCGTCTGGGCCTCCACCTCACGCGCGACCTCCTGGCGGACGTCCTCCGTCTCCTCGAGGAGCCTGTCAAAGGCGCCGTCAACGTCGCTGACGTGCTCCGAGAGCCACTTGGCGGCGGCTCGGTAGAAATCGTACACGCCACGGGCGTGCTGCTCCGAGAGAATGCGCTCCCGCTGCATGCGAAGGTCCTCGAGCCTTTCCGCCGCGTCCAAGAACCACCTGGGGGTGTTGATGTGCACCAGCATCAGGACCTGGTGAATGCGGCCCAGCGACTCTGCGAACCGCAGGGCGTCACACGCGGCCTCGTGCAAGTCCTGTCGACCACTGATGGTTGTGATGGACACGAGAGTCACGTAGCCCACAAGCGCGGGCTCAAGCAGCGTCGTCAGCTTCGTCTGCTTAAAACCGGGATCCCCGGCGCTGGAGAGGCCCGCCACACGACGCACCGTCTCCACGAGGTGACAAATTTCACCGCAGTGGGGTGGGCGAAACGCGGCCACATCCACAAACGTCAGTGTGGCCATGGAACGCCGCCCCGAGGCATCCACCGAAGCGTAGACCTGAAACTGCACGATGCAGGAGGTATCCATGTGCTTCTTCGCCGGTATCTGTACAGCGCTGGGGGCGGAGCCGAGCAGACGCATTTGTGGCAATGCGGTGGCCCCCAAGGGGGGTGGGAACTCCACCACTGGCACCGGCTCGCCACTAAGCGTCTCCAGCAACTGCGATCCGCGTGCAATAAATGCGGAGTGCGTGACGGTCGCGCGAGGGCCGCCAGTTTCGGGCCCGTCTGCGGCCCCCACCACACGCCGCAGCAACTCTTCTGCGGCGAGCTCTATGATTCCCTTCTCGCTGTGGTGCGGACTGCCGTAGAGGGTTTGGCTGCGGCCGCTTTCGCAGGGTGCGCTCACTAAGAAGAGGTAGCTCTGTCCCGCCAGGCAGTTTGACACGCACGGCGCAATAACCTCCTGGTAGAAAATGTCCGTTGGCGTGGCCCTGTGCACACGGGTGACATTAAACGGGTCGGACCACGCATCTGTCTGCGCGTTCTTGAGGCGCAGGGAGGTGTAGCTAGACGACGTCGCGGTGTGCTCCAGGTGCGACATGAGCCGCACGTGACTTTCGACGCTTTTCAAAATGTTCTTCACCGCCGGCCGCCGCGGGGACCCGGGCGTCGGGCTCGGCGTCTTGCTGCGCTGGTCCATGCCTTGCACCTGCGCCCCCCGCCGCGTACTCCCCCCTCCCCCTCCCGGTCTACTTCTGCCGTCTAACCCACAAAAAGAGCGCCGCAAAGGCAGAAAGGCAGAAAAAAAAAAAAACAGAGGCAGAGTAAAAAGGGAGGGGGTGCGGGCTACACGCACACACTCACACACGCGCGACGGACGGCGAGTCGAGAAGAGGCAGCGGACCGCGGGAGGAGGAAGAGGAGGAGGGGGAGGAGGAAATACATGAGAGAACGTGCGGCTTTGCCAGAACGTCGCAGCGTGAGAGGGGGGCATCTGAGGGGACGGGCAGCAGATAGACTCCCCAAAGACGCCGGCGCCCACTTCGCCTCCGCCGTGGGCGGCGTGCACACACAGCCACGCGTGCGGAGGTGCCCTAGGCGGGAGCGGCGAGTCGGCGGCGGAAAAGGAAGTAAAAAAACATGTACACATGCCCACCATCCCTGCACCGGCCCCCCACGTCGCAAACAGGCTCCAACTCCGCCAGTACCAACTGGGCAGTCCGGCACACAAAGCACCCAAGGCACACGCACAAGCACACAATACAAGAACAAACAGAAGAAAAAAAAAATACGCAGTCTAGCGGAGGCCGCTGCTCCCACGCTGTTGTTCAAGGAGTCCATCCCAGCCTTACTGATGCAGGACGCCGACGATTGGGGGTGTTGCTCGTCCCTGTCCCCGTCAGCAACAAGGACGAGCCCAAGCTACGTCGCTTTCTCTGTCGCCTTGGAAAGTCGTCCAGAAGTTGACCGACTCCCGTATCGCTACTTCCTCTCGACCCAAGGCTTATGTTCAAGCTTGCGCTGCGCAACTTCCGTCGTTCCACACCCGGCTTCCTTGGTCGGCTGCCACTGTGCAACCCTCCCCCTCTATTCGGGCGTCTGCTAATGGGTGTGTGACGCGACGCAACAGCTTGGCTTGACGAGGGGATCTCGCGCAGCGGCGTGGCGTGACAGTGGCGGGAGAGGCGCCCACGAGAACTGTCAGGCGTCCGCCGGTTTCCCCCGCTGCTGTTGGGAGTGTGGGGCGCGGCTGCGGCGGCCGCGCGGCGACCAGAAGCGGCGGCACCCACGCTCAGCGTAGTGCGGCCCAACCCTGCTGTCATGCCTATAGGTGTCTGTTGGCCTCGGATGACTCGCGGCACAATCGACTTATCGATTGCTGTCGGCGTTACTTGGGCACCATCACCACCACCGCCGCCGCCGCCTCTGGGTGCCCCCAGCTGCATCAGGCGGTGCTCGACGTATGAGCTGCGCTCTCGCAGTTGCCGCTTATACCACTCCTCCATCAGCAGCAGCCGCTCTGCCATTTCAATTGCCTTCAACTGCAGCGCGTGCACGTCCTGAACCTGCAGAATGTTCCCGCCCAAAACATAACTAAGCTCCTCCGCGCGCTGAGACACGTCAAGAGCTGCGGCACCGTCCTCTAACTTGGTGGCCGCGCCGGGACGCCGCGACTGAGGGGAGGACCCACCACGGGCCAGTCGCGGCACGCCTTTCACGGTGCAGCGGATGCGCAGGGGCGTGGAAGACCGCGCGTCCTGTGGCGTTCGCACCGCCTCCCCCCGGCCGCCCCCCACAGCACCCTGGCGGTCCCTGGCCCTTTCACTCGTGTCAAGCAGAGCACTCACGTTAAGCTTAGGAATCATGCGTGTCCGTCTTACCTGATGCCAGCCTCCCACTGCGGCGGCACAAATTACTGCACCGTTCAGCGGAGGAAAAACAAAACAAAAACCGAGCGAAGGAAAGAAAAGAAAAAAAAAAAAGGAAAAGCAAACACTCCCACAGCGCGCCCACGCAATACACAAACTCGAGTCAGAAGCACCAAATCACCCGCATACTAGCAACAATACAAAACACAAGAACTAAAAATAAAAGCTTGAAAAACTGAAAACAACAAAAATCAATGAGCATCCTTTCACTTCTTGCCACCAGACTTCTTTCCAGCGGCGGCGGCCTTCGCGGGAGCAGCAGCGGCCTTCGCAGGAGCAGCAGCGGCCTTCGCGGGAGCAGCGGCCTTCGCAGGAGCAGCAGCGGCCTTCGCGGGAGCAGCGGCGGCCTTCGCGGGAGCAGCGGCGGCCTTCGCAGGAGCAGCA